AATTGTTAAGCGACAACAAATATGACTTCCACGATAACGTTCTTTCACTTCATCAAACAGTCCAACCTGACCTGAAAAAGGGAAAAAAATCAATTAGAAAATAAGAAATCATATGATAGAATCAATTCCAATCATTTGTCACTTAGTAGCACTCAAAATTCAATAATGTATCTGCGCTCAAAATTTAATAAATAATAGTGAAGAAATAGAGATTCTCACCTGAATCCAATGCAAGTGCTATAAAAACACTTTGGAGTCATGCTCAAGTCTTTAATGAGAGCATAAATATACTCAACACCTATCAAATATTAGAATTAAACAAGTTATCGAATGTTAACATAATCGTTCACTATTCGGTTCTATTTCATATAAACATCCTAATTTAAATCTTATGCCATAACTGACAATCGAACATAATACACAATTTCTATGGCGTTCTATTTACCAAATACAACACACTCCAGGCATCAATTCACATGGTACGGAGTTGACTCGTGTTTGTTTGACGAGTTCTCGAAACAAAGGTTTAAAACATTTGTTTCCACAATTTCTTTGAAAAATCATAACAATTGGTACAATTATCCAAATTGGGAACGTAATATGCCAAATGAAAGCTAACAACTGCATCTACATGTTCACTGAAGACTCTGATCACAAATTATGATCCCAGCATATGCAAAACAGGCCCAAAAGATGATTACAGAAAACTGCCAGAATTTCGGATAAATTCTCTTTTCTGGTACAGTTTATTGTAAAATTCATAAGTATTTGCAAAGTTATCCAAATTGGCCAAACAATATACCAAATCAAAGCTGACAACTTCATCTAAAAGTTTACTTAAGAAATATATCCCAAATTATTACCCTAAGACGGTAATAAAACCCAACGAAGATGATTCATCAAAACTGCCCTGTTTTTGGCAGACTCACTGCCGTCAAATTCTCATTTCTAAAAGGCTATAAAACTTGCTCGAATTAGAAGCAATTTAACACTTACATATAATTATCACGGTCCTCGACGACTTTTGTGAAAAGACTGATTCGAAAATCTCACTCCAAACCCTTCGATTTCGGCTCCGAAAACAGGTGCGGCAGAAGGTTTACTATTTCTCAGAATTTCGCCAACATAGCTGTCGGGTTAAATTTGGTTATATAACTTGAAGAAATACCTAACAAAATCTTTCTCAAATAACAAAGTCTTCTCACCTCGAGTTAGCACCAAAAGCAACATCATAGACCAAAATTTTCTTAGGTACACAACCACGAATGACACCTGAAATAAGAATCCATTAGTTTCTTAAGCTTCACCTTCGATCACATTACTTTAAACTTGTTGCTCAATGTGCATAAGACAAATTTCAAATAACTAATGACTCAAATAACTAATGAAACAGATAGATGCTAACTATGGACATTAAACTAGAAACCAACGTTATTTGTTGTCACATTTTCTTCCAAAAATCGTAGCAGGCCGTACGCTTATCCAAATTGGGAAAACAATATACCAAATAAACGTTCACAACTTTATCTACAATTGTGATGAAGATACCAACCCACAATTACTAAGATAACACAACAATAACAGCCCGAAAAGTTGAATACAGAAAACTGCCAGAATTGTTTTGGACAAACTTGTTTGCTGTCACAGTTTATTTGAAAAATCATAACAATTTGTAGAGTTATCCAAATCGACCAAATAATATACCAAATCAAACCTCACAACTCAATATACAAAACATCAGAAGATACATAGCCTAAATTATTACTCCAACATAACAAAAACAGCTCCGTATGATGATTAGGCAAAACTGCCCTGTTTTTTGACAGATTCTCTGTCGTCTGATTCCGACCCCTAAGAGACTATAACATGTGCTCCAATTGGAAATAATTAAACACTTACTCACAGTTTTCGAGGTCCTCTACGAGTTTCGAGAAGGAATGATTCCCAAATTCACACTCCAAACCCTTCGATTTTGGCTCCGAAAACATATGCGGTAGCAGATTTATTTCCTTCCGGCGAGCATGCTGAATTTCACACAAAATTTCGGCGACCACCGCCGAATAAAACTGCCTTGCACCACCATTAATGGGACGCTAACTTCTCGAGGTTTGTAACAGTACCTTCTATCATCGATACTCCACCGTTAACACCTCCGTTCATTTAATTCTTTGAAGAGCCAAAAGCTGAACTCCAGATAACGGCCACCATCGGCGACCTCTGCCGGAAATCACCAACACGTACCGGTGTACATCTGAACTCACAATTATTCCAAAGGTGGGACCTGATCGACGGGATTCATTCTCGAAGGTCTCCAAACTATTATTTTTCCTTAAAACCCAAATCTGAAATTATCTTTTCAAAGCCCCAATTCTTTCCCTGTAATCAAATCTTCCGAATCTCCTTAATGAATTCGAAAATTCTCGAACAGGGGTAGGAACTAGGGCTTGGAGAAATTGGGTGAAATAGGCGAATATTTTTGTGGAAAACAAAAGAGGTAAGATAAGAGGGATTTTGGTGCAAACATCACGAAGAAATTAAGAGAAAACTCCATCTTGATTTTCTGTGATATAAGCCGAGAATTGATAGAGAGAGAGAATGAGAGCGTAAGGAGAGAGTGAACAGTTGTGATGAAGGAACGAAAGAATGAGAATTGGGCCAATTGGCTGTATTTTCCATTATTTGCATTTTGGCCCTCCATCTTTCTTTTATTTTCTTTTCTATTCTTGATTTGTTTAAAAATTAAAATAGTGACCAAATCGATTTGATTTCCGAAAGAAGTTTCATAGTGACCAAATTCAAGTGGTTACTAGCAACCTAATTAGATGGTTGTTAATAATTAAATTAAAGACTTGTAGCAAATGTAAAAAAAATTAATGTTACATTGGTCACTATTGACACTAAGTTATAGTGACCATAAAAATTGTCGCTACAAACTTTAACTTTAGTTGCTACAAGATGTCTAGCTATTAGTGACCACTTATAGCTACCAAATGTTCGCTCGTCGCAACAAGATTTAACCATTACCACTTTTGCTACAAAAGAACTTTTGGTCACTAAATGTGAATATTCAGTGACCATTAAGTTATGGTCACTGAGAATTTGGTCACTGAAACTAGTTTTTCTTGTAGTGCCATGATAAATGTGAAAATTACCAAGTGGATATACACTCAATCCCTAAAATCCATGATTAGAGAGTAAAATGTTACATTCTCGATTATAAGTTCAAGTTATTTAAAAACTCATTATTACAAATCTTAATTTCTTGACAATAATGGAAACGCTATTTTTGTATTTTTTCTAGGCGAATATGATATTGAGATTTTTTCGCGGAACTCGAATCAACTACATGAAACAAACCAGATAGTTTAATGATAAAACAACTATGTTTCCTTATAGTCGATTTATTATTTCTCATGTCTAATATTTGATTTAGTATTTCAGTCAATTATATTGTTCTAATCGGCTATTAATAAAACAGCTATGCAACGTAGTGGTGGACTTACGTCCAATTTAATCGAAAATTTTACTAAGGCGTTATCACTAATTTCCTCAAAAGGTTGGAAACATCTCAATACAATAACAAAACATGTTTTCACTAATTTCCCCTAAATTTTAATACATCAACTTAAATTTAACTACCTCTCAAAAACAAGAAAAAAGATTCACTACAAAGGTTGAAACAATATTTTAATTGAGGAAATATTAATTAAATTATGAACTATCAACTTGCAAAAGCATCTTTGTACGACCAAAACGGATGGTTTTCGAGATATATAGTTAAAACAAACTTAAGGATATTTGTAGGGATGGTAGCAGACTAGATATATTCGTGAAAAAAAATAAAATAACAGAATTATTATCGTTTAATATATTATATATGTTATATGAAAATATAATAATTCATTAAAATAAATTAATTGAAATATTAAAATTGTTAACACCAATATCCGAATATTCACAGATAGTCCATTACCATTTAAATGTATAAAAAGATTTTAAATAGTCAAATTTATTTTAGATCGAAGTACATAGCAAACTTATTGTAAATGCAAAAGTTGATATTAATTTATAAATAATTTTCAAATTTACATAATATATATTAGCGTATCTATATTATATATATTACGTATATCTACTATTATTCTTATTTATTAGGTTACCTTGTATATTAGGTTTCCTTGTATATTAGGTTACCTTGTGTAGTAGGTTAGGGTTTCCTACATGTACCTATATATATATATATATATATATATATATGATTAATATACGTAAGAGATATCATTCTCTCTTTTCTCCAAATATATTTCTCCTATAATATAAGTTAAAATCATACCAATATCATACATATAGTTAATTACGATTACCATATGAGATAAGGTCAAATTACGAAGAAAAAAAAAATCTTCATATTTGGATAATTACAACCATCCTTTAATTATGAATGTTCTCTCACAAGTTCACCTTGCGATGTCAAATTTAGTGGAATCTTCTAGATTATGTGGAATATTCTCCAGTTCATATCCGTTTTTGTCTCATTTGCTCCACATTTTGAGACAAGATGATCATAAGATATGTCTCTCGGCTTGTAAATATCAAATTGTGGTGCCTCAAAAACTGCATTTTTGCACAAAACAAGTACAAACTAAAGAACATTCCTCAAAATTTAGAAGATTATACTGTATATGACACCATTAGGGTGGACGTGTAGGAAGATTCATAATTAAGACGGATAATTATAATTACTCAAACATGAGAATTTTTTTCCGTAATTTGACTTTAACTCAGAGGGTGACCGAAATTTACGTTAACATACAATATGCTATTTAATTAACCAAAACAAATTTGAATCCCTACTAGGTAATAATTATGTAGCACGTACTCTACGAAAAGGATATCAATCATTGCACACCGTGAGTCCATGTATTTCGTTTCTATATATATAAACCTCTCATCAACAATTTAGATACTAATATACATAGAGAGAGAAAGATAGAAGAGAGAGAGAGATATTGTAATTATAACCCAATATTATCGTATAATCATCATATATATCGAGGAGGAATTTAAATAGATGGGGAACAGCCTAAGGTGTTGTTTGGCATGTGTTCTACCATGCGGAGCACTAGACTTGATCCGGATAGTTCATTTAAACGGGCACGTGGAGGAGTTATCGGGTCGGGTCAACGCAGGCGATGTACTGAAGAACAACCCGAATCACATCCTAACCAAGCCATGCTCCTCACAAGGCGTGGCCCGCCGGATCCTGATACTCTCGCCCGAATCCGATCTCAAACGGGGCTCCATTTACTTCTTGATACCTTCCTCTTCTTTGCCCGCTCACCATCACGATCAGAAGAGTAAGATCAACAAGTACGAACCTTCGAAGCAGCAGAGTACTACTGCTGCCCCGGCGGTGGAGAAGAATCCGCGGTCGTTCCGCCGCCGGAAAGTCTCGGCGGAAGTTCAGCGGACTCATCTCGAGAGCATTTCTGAGGATTTGTGACAATTTCTTTTTTTACCGCGAATATTTTTTTCACAAAGTATTCACGCATTTTTTTACATGGGGTGATTGCTTTTTTTTTTTTTTTTTTTTTTTTTTTTAATTAATTTGTGGATAATTCATTTTCATTTTTTTTCTTTTTCTTTTCACTTCTTTGTTTTCATTTAAGATTTCCACCTTGTTGATGATTGGAGACCATGAATTAAATTTTTAGTCCATTTACTTTCTCTAAAACGGTAAAATGTGGTACTTAGGTAAGATTAAATTACTAAAGAATCCCTCTTGTTTGAGTAACTATATTCACCATTCAACTATGAATCTTTTTACACGTATATTTTTATAGTGTTAAATACAATAGAATCTTTTAAATTCCGTGTAATATTCTCTAGTTTATAATTATTTTGTGAACAAAAATACAATTTTGCATGCTTTATAATCTAATATTTTCAAGTCGAGAGACACATTTTTAATATATTTTTCTTATAATTGAACCTTACCGCACGCAGACGTAACCATAATTTACCATTTTTTTTCCATAACTTCGATCGATTCTCTTATATCTTTGATTATTTGTTTTTATTCTAAGTCATCCAACTTAATTTTGACTTTGGATCGGGATGGGTGCACCTAATCTATAATTTGAATAAAGTAATTAATTTTTTTCCTTATTCCTCGGGTAATGGTTTAGCTGGCAGTCATCTTCAATCAATATTCATAATTCATAATTCACAATGTTGCAAGGGGTTAAACAATTGTAAATTGTTATATAAACAAGTTGAGAGCATTAAAATTAGAAATGGACTTAGATAAATGCAGAAAGCCTTTTACTAAACGTATGATATTTTATTTAATAAAAAAGTCTAGCACCAACTTCCATTTTTTTTCTTTCAAATCTTTATTTTTGTCAGAGTATCGCATCATCAAAACACGAGTTCATCAAATTTTGTGTATAACTCAGACTAGTATCTACTGCAAACGCTCGTTTTTCTAAATCTGTGTTGCTTTCTTAAATCGAATTGTTCCACTATTTGTTATGTTTATAATACACAAAAACCACCCAAATACTCAATTTCAATTTCAAAACTCAATTTCAATTTCAAAACACATCTATGAATAAATATTAAGCTTAGATGATTTTTTTTCCTAGTTTAATTTTAATAGTTAAAAAATATTATTTAAATTTAGAGATTCAAAAACAGTAAACGAGGACAAACTAATTGTTGCCCAAGCTTGGTTGAACTAAATTCTTAAAAGAGCCGAATATATTATAAGTTATATATAATTATTATTATAAAATTAATTAATTAAATAAATAAAAGGCAAAAATCTGGAAAACGATAAATATAAAATAAAAAATATTATGGAGCCACATGGATATAATTTGTGCTCAACCTACACAAAGACCAAAAAGCTAAGTTCCACCACGTTATGGATTAATTAAATCTGGATCACACGGTTTCCTCTTTTTGGACTGTTGCTACTGGCATTACCTCATACTTACCATTTCTCTCTTCTTTTTCTATATATATCTAATATCTATATATGGTTGAATAATTTTCATATTATTTTCAATTTTCAAAGTTAGTTTTATAAACTCAAGTAGATTATACCTATTCTAATATATATCTTGTAAATACGTAAATACGACGATCCCTAAGGTAATGTTAAATTACGGAAAAAAAAAATTTATGCTTGAATAATTACAATCATTTTCTTAACTATGAATTATTTTAGTGTCCACCATGTAGTGTCAAATTTAGTAAACTTTTTTAGATTATGTGGAATATTCTCTAGTTTGTACCCGTTTTACCTCATTCGAGCTTTATATTTTGAAATAAGATATGTCTCTTGGTTTGTAAATATCAGATTGTTCTGCATCATAAATTGCATTTTTGCACAAAACGAGTACAAACTAGAGAATATTCGACGATATCTAGAAGATTATGTTGAATTTGACACCATCAGGATGGACGTGTAAGAAGATTCATAGTCGAGGACGTGGTTTTAATAATTCAAATAATAAAGATTTTTTTCGTAATTTGATCTTGCATCAGGAAGTGGCCGTAATTTACCCAATACATATACGGTAGTCTATCATGTAAATTGCAATTTGATGGTTGCAAATAGATAAATAAAGATAATTGGGCCAAAAAAGTTTCCAGTATAAATCTAAATTTGTACAATTTGTTTATAAAAAAAAAAAAAATCTAGCATATGCACCAAAAATTAAAACAATATATACACCTTTAACCCTCATGAAGAAAAAGAAAAAAAAAAAAATAACTACAAACAATAATCACATGGCTAAACTACCGGATTGATGCCCCCTGGGTGCAGGTGCAGGCCATACTCTATTATCATTCAAAGGCATCTCCATTCCTACAAACGAATCTTGCCTTAAGTTTTGAGGGTTATCGAAATAATCCTCATTCGGCAAAGCTTGTTGCACAACCAACACCGAAGCTTTGTACTCCAACGACACAATCATGTCCCCGACAAACCCCAACTCCGGGAACTCGTTCCAATCTTGAAACCCGGCCAACAATGGAGAATCATCCTCGTGTCGTCTCCCCACTAAAATCAGGTCAAAACAGCTCTCCATACTTCTGATAACCCCCACGACCCCCACGCTATCCTGCACCGCCTCCTCCTGATAGAAGCATTGTTTGTTCGTCATCTGAGAATCTTTGTACTCGTTCACCACGTCCAAGTCGGCATCCACCCCGCCCGAATAGGAGGTGCTCATGTTAGCCCCGCCGCCACTTTCGTCCACGAATCGGACGAGCGTGAGTCTTATGGTGGGTCGTTTAGCCATTCGCCTCGCGTAAGCCAACGCCTCCCTATCGTCGGGCCCGCCCAAGAATATCACCCCCACACGGTACACGTCGTGGTGGAGCAAGCTGGCGGCGCTGCAGTTCATTGTCCCACGGTCGATCAAGACCCCCACCGAACAAGGGCATTCTTGGATTATGTTTTGGTTGACGACCCTTATAGCATTGGACTCCTCTTCGGATACGTGGATCAAAGGGTGTATGTGGAAGAGCGTGATTACCATAGAAACGCTCCTCTCCGCCGCTAACGTGCACACGTCCTCGTGCATGGAGGCGTAGGGGGATATGGCGGTGAAGGGGTACACGGAAGCGTGGCCTCGGTTTTCGTGCTCGAAGAATCTGAGGGCGTTGATTATGTGGTCGGACTCGCTCGGGACGGACGGGTCCCGCATTCCCGGGTGGTGGGCCATGAGAAGCGGTGCGGTTCGGCCCGCTATCTCCACGAGGTGGACTACGTAGAAGGAAATGGGGGCTAGTGGATTTGGATACGAGGCTTCGAAGAGGTTAATTATGCATGGGGTGTGCTCTTGATAGTGGAGGCATGCGAGTATTCGGATCTCGGAATTCGGATTCGCGTTTTGGAGTGTCATCCACTCACCAGCCGCCACCACATATCTCTTTGTTGGCCTGTACGAGAATTTAACTATTGGAGCCAGTATTCCGGTGAATAGAAAAATTGACAGAACCATTACGGTGAATGATTCTGTATCAATTAGCTGCAGCAAAAATAGGATAAATATGTCAATTAGCTTGCATATAAATTGAACGATAATGTGTTACAAAAGTACTTGAAATGATGCTTATCAATGGACACTTCGCCCCGCCCCCTATAAAATTTTCAAATTCGCACTTTGCTCCCTAAAAATTCAAAAACGAGACGACCCCTTATAAAATATTGTTCAGGTTGAAATTTGCCCCAAAACCCAAGTTCCAGTAGACAACGGCCAACAAAATAACATTTTAGAGGGGCAACGTGCAATACAAATAACATTTGAAAGGGGCACCGTGCAACAATAATAACATTTTAAAGGGGTAATTGCAATAAAAAAACACTTTACTGCGGTGAATAACCCATCGCAATTCGGCTATCGGGGCAACGTGTAACATTTTGAAAGGGAGCACTCACTTTTTTTTTTTTTCAATTTATAGGGGGAAAGTGCGAAAATTTGAAATTTACAGGGGTTGAAATTCAATTTGCCCTATATTTAATTACCTCTATAGATTTTGCTCGTTCCAAGATTAGTACATCCATGATGCCTTGGTTGCTTAAAATAAGGCCGAGGTAGAGTGCGTCGCTCACCGGCAGTTTCCAGTACAGGGCGGGCAACATGACCCCGGCTAATTTCCACAGCGTTGCGAAAAATGCCAGGATTTCGATTATGACAAAGTTCCTCATCGATATTAACGAGAAATCAATCCTTGCAGCACTAACAACGAAAAAGATTGGCAAGATGATAGAGGAGACAAAAAACTCGAGCTTAGTGACTAATGCCGAGCCTAAAGGAGGTCCGTCGGGTATTACCATGCCTAGAATTACCGGCCCGAATATAAAATGCTGACCGAAATACTCCCCGTAAATTGCGGAAGCCATTACAAAGATGAAGATGATGCATATATGGCTCTCTTTGACCGATTTCGTGTTGGCCGTATGCCTAATCATCCGTAGCGTTATAGGGCGGAAGATGCACAGTGCGAAAAACACCATCACGACTATAAAGAAAATCATCGCTAGAAAAGTGTGCTGCTTCGCGTGCACGCTCTGCTTCCCGGTGAAGACAATGAGTGCCCAAAACGAACTGCAAATGCCGCTAATCGTGGACGAAGATATGGCTAGCCTTCCCAGATGTGACTTTATAAGGTTCAGATCAGCTAACAGGCAAACTATGACGTGTGACGAGCTTATGGCTTGAAAAGATGCAATCCAAATTATCGACCTGTGGAGTCTCGGTTCCATGGGGATGGAATGTGTCATGAGATTGCCGAGCAACGAGTTGAGTAACAAAGGCATTGAGAATGTGCAGATGCCTATAGCAACTACCTTCTTCCCCGATTTTTGAATGACGCTCAGATCGGTTTTCACGCCGATGATGAATAGAAACAGCATCACGCCAAAATACGCAAATGTATCGACTATATAAAAGCTTGATACTGGGAAAATCTTGTCTCTGAAGACCGAGTTGATTCCGAGGACCGATGGTCCCAATATTACCCCTGCCTGGTCATCACAAAAGGCAACACAATTAGACAGCGACGTAAACTACGTTTCAAGGGCTTTAAATAAATAAAACCGATCGATCACAATAAGTTCAACTACGCATCTGATGAAAGCGACTAATTTGTATACTTTTTTCGTTTCGGGCCACATTTAACCTCATTTATCATAAAGCATATCTCTAACTAGTAACTAGAGTATCCATTCCCTAGAGCAGTAGCAAATCAAATCAAAATCTCAGCTACTTAAACCATTGCTCATCAGACACAATTATTTTGTTCATTGAGGAATTTCAACAAACACCTTGCGCCCGTCCATCGTCATATAGTTTCGTAAACCCCAAACTCGTTCCGGTACAAAACCCAATTAAGAGTTACATTATCAAGCGGAAGAATCGGGCACACACACACACACACACAGATAAATTGAGAAAAAAAAATGGGGCTTACGAGGATCTGGGAAACGAAGACACTCTGGCCAAGGGGGGTAAGCAAGCGGTGCAAGGAGGCGGTGACGATAGCACAAAAAGAAAGCTGGGCGAGGAGAAGAGAAGTGTTGGAGGAGAAGGGGCTCTCGTTGAAAAAAATACCTCTGGACCAATGGAGTTGCTGCTCAAAGCATACAGTTCCTTCCGGGATAGAAGAAACATTCATCCTAGCCTAGCATACAGGGGCGGCCGATATTTTTATTTTTATTTTAATTTTAATTATCACACACAATGGATCATCAAATCGATTTACATGAGAGAGAAAGAAGAGAGAGAGAGAGAGAGAGAGAGAGAGAGAGAGAGAGAGAGAGAGGAGAGAGAGAGAGAGAAGATTGAGAGTTGGCAGTGCGTGCATGAGAAAGGGAAGGAAATGCATTGGACAAGAGCAACAAGAGGGATAACCGCTTTTTTAACGGTTGGTTCATTTGTGTATTTATTCTTTTGGTTTTGTAAATATATGTGCAAATTTTGTAAATATATGTGCCTTTTATTTTCAAATAATCATCTTCAAATGGATTTTGGTTAATAAAATGGCAATTAGCCAATTAGACCCTTACAATTTCAATTAGGAGCCAATATAAGGCAAAGAGGGGCCATGACCCCTAATATTTCTCAAATTTTTATTAATTTATATAAAAATATAAAAAAAAATTGGGTACAAAAATTAGCATTAGGCTCCTCCCTATAAATTATTTAACTCGTTTTCAAAAAAAAAATAGAAATTATTTAACTCATTCAGTTGCCTCGGACTTAAAATAAAATTCTGGTTCCGCCACTCACCTCAGACTTAAAATAAAATTCTGGTTCCGCCACTGAGTACCTGTATCTCAAAATTCATAAATGACATGTCAACCAGGTTTCGTCAACTAATAAGTAGGTCGACTAATTTGTTCATCTGTATTTTTATTTTTATTTTTTTAATAATGAGAACTATGGTATGTAACAAATTTAGATAATCCAATTTCTTTAAATTACATTACACAAGCCACAATATATAGAAGTTAGAACATCCAATTTGCAAACATGGATTATATTTAAAAAATTTGCTCTCCCTGTAGTAATTCTTGAATCTGTCTATTGATTAATCCACACTACAATATACAAGAGAAAACATTACATTTTACAAACAATATATCCTTTTCTTTCTTTTTTTTTTTTTCAAATATTCGATTTTTTATTTTATTTTTCAAAAAACCTACAACTTGATTCTTCGCAAATGTGTCGACTCCTCGGGGTCTTTCAACCCCCATAATCTAGTCTGCTGCTGCACCACCAAAACCGAAGCCTCCCCTTTTAATTCCGACGCGGCAAGAATTTCCCCAATCGCCCCCAAATCACCGCGCTCGTTCCACTTTCCGAGCTGAAGCATAATAGTCGAGTCACCATGCCTTCTCCCCACCAAAACAAGATTACAAGAATTCACCACCGATTTCGCCACCACAATCACATCCATCCCGCAACCCACAACTTTCTCCCTATACTCTATTTTCTCCACACTACCGTACTTCGTTTTACTCTTGAAGTTTCTCAAAATATCCGAATCGAGCATCTTGCTCCTCTCCGTGCCCGCCACAATCTCCGCCGTCGGCCCCGAATTCACAAACCTTACCACGGTCAACCCCACGCTACTCCGGTCCGACATTCGTTGACCGTACGCTAGCGCCTCCCTATCGTCCGCCCCTCCGAAAAATAGCACCACCACTCGGAAAGTCGAGCGCTCGTTCATCTTATGCATAGATTTGAAGCTTCGATGGTCGATAAGAATCCCAACGGAGCAAGGAGCTTTCTCGAGCACACTCTTGTTTAGATGCCTATGCGCATGGGAAGACTCGGTCGTCTCGCCCGAACTCCATTGCTTGTGAAACGGAAGAATTATAAGGATGGTCCTCTTCTCTAGAGCCAACGAGCACACGTCGTTGTGCATTGTCATGTAAGGAGCGATGCCTTTGTAGCAATGCACGTTGAGGAATCCGGGATTTTGCTCTTCAAATTTTTTGAAGGCATTGAAAATACGTTCCGATTGAGTGGGGTTGCGAGGGGGCTTGTCCTTTTGTCGGTGCGGTACGAGGAGAGAGGAGGCCCGGCCCATGAGCTTGACGAGATGGAGGACCACCAAATCCATGGGGGAATCTTTTGTGATGTTCGATGCTTGGAGGAGGCTTATGATGGAGTGCACGTTTTCTTGGTGGTGTATGCATGCGAGTATGCGGAGTTCGTCATTGCCTCTGCAGTGGAGAATGGTTCGTCTCTTGTACGCGATGTACCTCTTCGAAGGGTCATAAAGGAACTTTACTATTGGGGAAATTACTCCAGTTGTAGCGACCAGGGAAACTATCATAATGGTGTAGATTTCGTCGTTCACGATCTGCAAAAGCGAATATGGAGAAGAAAGAAAAACATTAATACTGCAATACTCAACACAAATAAAACACATACATACTCCCTCTGTTTCAAAATAAGTGTCACTTTTTACCCTAACATTAATGAAGTGATAAAAGAGGAAACGAAAAAGTCATGAAGGGGTAATACTCCATCTGTTCCATAATAACTGTCGGTTACGGTTTTTACACGCATATTAAAAAGTTATTAAATATGGTTGAATTTTATTAAAAAAAAAAAAAACACACATAAAAAGACTAAAATATCCTTTACTTAATGAGGTGATAAAAGATAATTATTGTTTAGTAGAGTTGAACTAATAAGGGTATAACAGGAAAACATGCATTTAATGCTTCATTAGAACTCTAAAGTGATGCGTGATATGGAACAAAAACAATTCTCTAAAGCGACAAAACAATTCTCTAAAGCGACGGATAATATGGAATATGGAACAGAGGGAGTAATTTTTTTAACTAATGTGCATCAACCTTGAACGACACTTATTTTGAAACGGATTGAGTAATAGACTTCAATATCCACGACTTACTTTCTTGTTCTTGATATCATTTAAGATGGCAAGTTCGACAATTCCTTTCGTATTCATAATCAACCCCAGAGAAAGAGCATCCCGAAACGGCATCCGACAAATAATAAGAGGCAACATCGAACCGATAAGCTTCCCCACAAACGCAACAAAAAAGACCAACTCCAAAACTCCAATATTTGTCCAATTCTGTATGCAAAAAACATCCACCTTCAATCCAGAAACAGCGAAAAAAATCGGCAAGAGCAACAAAGAGACAAAGCAATCGAGCGTCTCAGACAAGGCCGCACCCAAGGGGGGCCCGTCCGGTACAATCAAGCCCAGGACCAATGAAGCTGTAGTGGCGTGAATTCCAATAACTTCACCCGCAAATCCACTCACCATCAATACCACAAGGGCTATAAAAATATACCTCTCCTTCACAGGTCTCGTTTCTGGTGTGTGCCTTATCACCCATAAAGCTGCCGGACGAATCACAAATATAACAACCGTGAAAAACAGAACAGATGTCACGAGCGACCCCACGATCACTATCACCGAACTCGTCCTCGCCAGGTCAGCGAATGAAAGCACGCACATGATTGACCAGAGGCACACGTCGGAGATAACCGAAGAAGAAGAGGCTAAACGGCCGATCTCGGAATTGAGAATCTTGAGCTCGTCAAGAAAGCATGTAATAACCGGAAAAGCCGTCATCGACAGCATAGGCACTACGTGGGGGAGTGCTCTTGCAATATCGTGGTCTAGAGCGAGAAATTTGTCGAGGAGAAAAGCGACTAAACTCGCGAGCACGAGCGGTATGAAGAAACCTAGAATGCCCACGGCCAATGCCTTTTTACCGGATCTCAGAACAACGGACAGGTCCATTTTCACACCGATTAGGAAAACAAAGAGCATGAAACCGAAAACGGATACGGTATCGAGCACTAGCCTCGACTTTGTCGGAAACACTTTTGCCGAGAACGACGCATCTCGGCCCAGCATTGACGGCCCTAATAATATACCAGCCTGATCAATATGCACATTTTCAAGAATTATCAAATTTACCAAATTTTTTGCCCCTAAGAGAATATACCACCCTGATCAACAATATGCACATTATAAAAAAATATTAAACTGTACCAGATATTTATTTCATAAATGAAATATAGACTGCAAAAATTTGATTCATCAGGAAACAAATAAAATTCATATATACAAGTATCTCAAAAATAAACACCCAATTGAAGCAATTACAAGATGTGATAATGCAAAAAAAGGGGGCTTTTTCATTGTTAAATCAAAACAAAAGATAATCAGCATAAAAAAATTAGGGTTCTTACAAGAATCTGGGAGACGATGAGGGGCTGTCCGAGAGGGCGGAGAAGTAAGTGAAAGAAACGAGTGAGGATAGAAATAAGGGAAAATTGCAAGAGAAAAGAAGGGAGTGAATAACCGAGAGGATTTTCTCCGAAGGGTAAACCTCTGGTGTTGATTCGATTGAGGTAATAGCAAACGACGGAGGGATCGGAATCCCCATTATCACTCTGGTTCATAACCCTAGAATCTTACAATTATCCCCAATTGATTTTGATGAATTGACGGAGGGAGAATGCTATTGTGTTTCCTTGTTCAGATTTCGGAGAAAAACAGATTGGCGGAGGAGAAGAGAAATTGTAGAGAGAGAGAGAGAGAGCATGCATGCTGATATGCTGTGGCAGGAAATTACACCATCAACTTTTGTGTTTAAATATGTTTTTATTTATTATTATTATTATTTATTTATTTTTTCTTTCTTTTTGGTTTAGTATTCAATGTGATAATGTTGGATAATGTAAAATTAATTTGACCTCCTTTTATCCCATCTATTATCTATATTTAGTGCATGATTTTTTTTTTTTAATCACTTTATTTGATTTTAGTCTTCATTTTACTCTACTCCTCTATCGGGGGATGTAAACGAATCAAGCCGACTCGAATGCATACAAGTTTTCTTGACATTTTATCAGAGTTTTGTAATGTTATGTTTTGAGTTTGGTTTGATAAGCATTCCGGTCAAGTCGAATACTATTCAAGTTCTAGTACCATATACTTTTTTTTTAAACTTATTTTATCACTTTTTGCAATCCAAGGTTCATAACTTATTAAACAAAAAAAAATGTGATTAAACTCCATTCATTATGTTGATAAATCAAACTCAAACAAACTTATAACATGCGATGGCAAATTGAGTCGTTTGATTTGATTTTTAGCGTTATTTACTACTTTCCAATACTTCCAACGTCTTTCGAGCCAGATCCATTTTGAAAATTAAAATGATTTTTACGGGACTAGTTTTACGAATGCCGTTCATTTAAACACTTCCAACTTGGCGTGAAAAATCACCCATGTTTGCGCGTGGAAAAGGCATTTTTGTTAATTATGTATAAATAAAACTAGTACATTTTTTTTTTTTAACATCAACAAATATAAAAATTGTTAACGAATTACTAAATAATTATTAACCAATTATTATTAATTTTTCATTAATGACTAAATAATTATTTATTAACTACTAAAGAATTATTAATCAAAATTATATTTATTAAATATTAACTAATTAATTAACTATCAATAATTAAATAGTTATTACTTGCTCATTAAAATTACTTAATTCGATAATTAAATAAATAACGCCCATGTTGGGCGTGTAAGCCAGAAGTTTACGCGACCAACATAGTCATCGGTTATATTTTTCGACGTCTGTTTCATGCAGAAATAGGCTATTTCACGGCCGTTTTGGGCATGAATAGGCAAAAAATTGATTTTTCATACCCTAGAGAGAGACAACTTCAGAAAATTGAAACGATATTCGTAAAATTAAAATGGGTTTTATCAACTCCCTTTTGAAAATGACACATTTTATAGATTTAACAAGAGAAAAGGGCAAAAACAGAAGCCAAAAATACAATCATTAATCATTTTTTATATAGTTTCCCCCCTAGGAAATTCTACATACCTCCAAGGCTCCAAACAGCTGAATTCCACATGTAAATTAGGAAAACTCATTAATCATACATCTAATAAGCAGTTCAATTTTCTCTCGTCAGTTCAACGATAGTTAAATAATCACAGCAACACGAAAATACAGATCATAAAAAACACGAGCTACTACAGTTTCGACACACTCCACTATCGGAACAAATAAATCTGCCGCCTCGTCCATGTAAATTGGGTACAGTGTTACCACCACCACTGAATCCCGAACTAATACACAATTATCATGTTTCCCAAAAAAAAATATAAAAAAGCAGAATATTTATTTCTTGGCATAAGTGATAGCCATGGGATTCTGTGCAGTGATTTTGAAGCCTTGAAGGTCCTGCATGGCGACTGAAGACTGGGAATCATCGTCGAATTCGACAAACGCAATACCCGGCTTTGCTTCAACCATACGAACCTCTCTAAAACCGGGGTACTGTTTGAAAAGCAATTCAAGCATCATACTGTTTGTTTCGTACGGCAGATTTTGTATGAAGAGTATGTTGTTCGGCTCGGTAACTGCTTCTTGAACCCCTGCCTTTCCTTGCCTAGACCCAGCCTGCGATATATACATCATTTATAAGGCATATTAGTTACTTATCAAAGCTATTTCGAACTCGAGATGAATTCGGCAGGTAAGTATAGCAAGGCTTACAGATGGGCCTCCGTTCGTGTCGGCTCTGGGACCATTAGCGTTCGTAGTTTGATGATCTTCTTCAACGTTTTTCTTTTTCTCAACTGGATCAACCACAGAAGGAAATAAGTCTATGCAGAAAAAATGGATCTAATTCCACACAAAAAAGGATGAAGTACAGATACAGAAAAAGAAATGTATAATACAATGATTTAGGTGCACAATGACATCTCACAATCATAATCATGCCTCACGGAAATTTCCATTTCATAAATTGAGATTATAGGATAACCCAAAAGACATAAACAGATGGATCAATCACGTATAAAGGAAGTCCTACTCGTGTCTGGTTTCTAAAGAATAATATGAGTCACTATAGACTCGTGCAAATTTAAATATTTGAATTCCTTTAACTAGACATGCTTTAAGGCCATGTGAACCACATTATGCCACTAATCTTCGCAAGTCGTAATATAAGCTCATACATAAACAATAAAGGCGTGGCGCTGAGAAATACTTTTTTTTATAGAGAAGTGAATGGAAGAAATTTGACGGAGCGTGACAGAATATTCACCTTTTTCTTCTAGCTTCTTTTTCTTGTCATAAGTACCCTCTGCTTTAGCAACACAATCTGATTTTCCTTTAGCATATTGTATCCTCTGCAAGAACAATATACAATCAAATCCATTTATTAGTTGGAATTTACAAGTTCGTATAGCAAACATGCATCACTACAAAGAAACGGCACATATAGTGCATATGAAAGACAAAATGTGATATAAGACTAATCATAAAGAAAATTGGAAAAAAAAAATCCACCAATTTATTTCCGTAAAAGATAACAAGCAACATAAAACAGAATTAAATCATTTTTTTTCAAATATTTGCAATAAAAACAAGTCAAGAAACCAACTCCATCTATATAAATTAATGGTAGCCCAATTATTTTTCACATACTAAAACTCAGTATGCATAAATTAATTTCTACACAACATAGTAACAAAGATTATAATTAACAACCAAAATCTAAAGTTGGTCTCGAACTGACGCAAATCCAAGGTAAAAAGAGAGAAACAAAGAGAAGAAATGCACTTGTTTCACACCTAAATATCATGTAGAACAGATTCACCCAAACACGTACTCAGTACTCACCATAGGTTTGTCGTAAAAGGGGAAGTTCTGCATCTGTCGTACAGCATTGCTTGCAGCTGTCACTTCACTGAACACAACCCATGCCTGTCCACGAAGCTTGGCGGTTTTCAATGCAACAATGTCGACAATCCTCCCATACTGCGAGAACAATGCATAAAGAGATCTCTTCAACTCTGTCCAAAGTATTAAAGACAGGGAACTCATCACCATTAGCATCAGAATTCATAAATCTTGGAGAATATTAATCACGTATCACTAACACTGGGGCAATGACAACATTATTAATCAAAGTCTTTCATCTAAATATTTGGAAGATGATTATCAATTTCTGGTTGTTTCAGAACACTACTTGCAAGAGATTTCACATTATATATTGCCGAGATTTGTGAACGCTCTACCAGATTTGGTGTGAAACCGTGGCGGCCAAGGGAGAGAAGAAGAAAAGTGAGAGAATAACAGGATTAGAAAGGCCTTTGAGTAGATAATATCACATATAACAATGGGAGCGACTTACAATCTAATATCACTATCGTGAAACTATCATCTATGAGATTGTTGAGAAATTAATCATGTCAGATTCCACCTAAAAATGACATCTAAATATACTGTAGGTCTGAATAAAAAAATATAAAAATTAAATTCGCCTCACCAAAATAAGATTAAATCCAAATCAGCGATACGCAGCCTAGAAAATAAGCTGATTTCATGAGTTACTCGAAATTACAATTCATCTCCATGAATCTTAATCTGCGGCTGCAGTTCTTAAACATAGCTCTCATGATAAAGCATATGAAAACAATGAATTCCGTCAGGCTAAACGATCGATCATAAGGATTACATTACCCGCATTAGCTTTCATTCAGAACACTTAAAAGTTAACAGCAGTAATCTAATTAAACTCAGAAAAAGATCGAACTACAATTTACTTTTTTTTTTTTGGAAGAAGAAGTATAGTTTACTTAAGGGGTCAATTTTTCACAACACAGCTGAAGAAGATTTCCAAGGTCCGACAAACTTAACGAACTTCAATGGCGGAACCATAAACTTAGTGCTAACAAAAGAAAACCCTATTGCAGAAAAACCCAGAATTATGTGACTGTGGTTCACTCAAATCATAACAAACATGGCACATTCTTCTGCAGCACAACATAAACTACTATAACCTAATACTCCTACACCTAGAACATCGAAATGCGTGCGCTTGCGTGCATCTGAATACTGCCCAGTAAGAAGTACGAATCAGAAATAAATAATCCGCAACTCAATGCCAACAATTCAAACTCGATAAATTCTCCATATTTATAACGTCTAAGCACAAACCCTAACTGTTAGCTGGAAAAACAAAATAATACCTTCTTTTTTGACTTTCTCGTTCAGATTCTTGATGTATATTGTCTGGTTAGGAGGAATATCAGTAGTAATCATCTTCGCCGCCGTTGGCCACCACGAATTCACCTCACCGCCGCTGTGCGTGTGTGTGTGTTACTGTGTGTGAATTGCCCTAATTAAAGAAACTGAAGGGAAAACAAATTAAGCAATTGAAAGAAATTTTGGCGGTGGGGACGAATAATATTTAGTGGGCCAACAAATTAATGGGCTGTTAAATGGGCCGATACATTTCTGAAATGGGTAATGCCAATACTTTTTGTTTTAATTCCACTTTACACCCTTGAAATATTGCATCTAACATTTTAGGGATAATTACACTTTCGGGTCCCTCATTCAATGAAAAAATAAATCGCACTAAATGACCTTAAAATTACTTTTATATAACAAAACAACTTCTTTCTAAATATGCTCTCATCAAATTATTCGAGAGTTAGGTCTTTTATTATTCCAGTAAAAAGAAATTGATATAATCAATCATGGTACATTTATTTTTCGATATGTTTATGTTAATTGGGGCCAAGAATATCTGTTCACTAGCTAAATGCACAGTTG